TCTGTCATTCCTTTGTCGTGAGAAAGTCACTCAATGTCTTGCTCTCCCTTAGTTTCCCTTTATATAAAAGGTGGTGATGGGTGCATATTTTGTAAGGTTGTTGTAAGGATTAAACGACTGACTTCATGCAGAATCCTCAGAATGGTGCCTAACGCACGCAAGTACCTAGTAACCACGAGCTACTATGGTTGTAATGACTTTTCTCGCTGACTGTGGGATGACCTGTTGCTCACAGGCTGAAGAGGCCTGTGTATCGGAAGAGCTCGGGTGTGGAATTAGCCAGTCTGACTCCACTGGGTTTCCCCCAGGACGTCTGCCCAGTTCTCACTTTCCCCATCTGTAATAATAACACCTGAAATAATAACAATAGTAATAAGTGTGACTTGGTAAGCATCCTGTTCATTATTACGGCAGGTGGCCTTGTGGGACATTCTCCATGACCTTGAGGACAGACACATTGCTCAACACAGATCTCCTCTGGAGATCCAGGAGGGCACTTCCCTGGGTGACTGTGGGGAGGCAGAGTCTGGCCTGGGTGTTGGGGCCTGGTGGATGTGGCCAGCGGAGTGCAGCACTGACCAGCTCCAGTGCCTTGAAGCCTCAAGGAGCATGCCATACAGGCCACAGCCAAAGCCAGCAGGTTCTCCAGGGCTTTCCTGCAGGAGATGGGGGACCAAAAGAGATGCAAGGCCAGGAGAGCAAGTAAGTCCTGAAACCTGGAGCTCCTGGAAGGCTGGGAGCTGATCAGATTGGCCTTAGCTCCTCAGAAACAGAATGCATTCCCCCCACCCCCTGCCCCACCCTTCTTCCTCTGAGCAGAAATGATCTTTTCAGAGGTCTCCAGGCTTAATCCTGGCCTGGAGGGCAGCAGCCTTCAGAGTCTCAGTGTGTGGAGCACCTTAGGAAGGTGGCTGTCTGGGGGAGCCTGAAAACCATGCTCACTGGTACCCTTCCAAGTCAGGAGAGAATCAAGGGAGGCTCCTCTCTCTCTCTCTCTCTCTCTCTCTCTCTCTCTCTCTCTCTCTCTCTCTCGCACCCTGATTTGCCTAGCAGGGCTGTGAATTATAACTTGCAGAGCATTGCCACCCACTCTGGGCCTTGCCTCAATTGGGCTCCACAACAGAAGGCAACTGGAGGGAAACCAGGAGCCATCTGACAGCATAGGGCAATTTGTCTGACACTGGACCATTGTGAGAGATGCGACGAACCCCATTGCAGACCACGTAGAAGATGCTAGAAGCACAGGCCCAGGAGAGGCCCAACGTAAAACTCTCAGGTGATTCTAAAGAGCAGTTCAAGCCTGAGAACCACTGCTGGGAAAAATAAAAATGACTCACCCAAAGGGAAAAGGTGAATCTGTTTCATTGGGACTGGATACGCTGGCTGGGAGCAGAGCAGGGGAGAGGGCCACTTGGACCCTGACCCCACCCTGATTGATTGCGAGGCCCAACAGAACAAAGTGTCTGCTGAGGGCGCTCCTCCAAGCTCTGCAGGGCACTCCAGACTGGGATCCCTAACGTAAGAGGTGGGGAGCCCTGGCTGGGGGGCTCAGTGGGTTGGAGTGTCATCGTGCTGTGCACCAAAAGGTTTTGGGTTCGATTTCTGGTCAGGGCACATACAGCAGGCAACAGGTGGATGTTTTCCCGCCCCCTCAACAAAAACCCCAAACCAAAAAGCAATAAAACATATCTTCAGGTGAGGATTAAAAAAAAAAGAGATGGGGAAATTGCCAGAATTTTAGGAAACTCATTCAATAAAACCAACTCCCTTTGTCCTGGAGTTTCCAGGCAGGAGAGCTTGCAAGAGATGGAGGGCTCTTTTTGAGAGCTTGAAGGTGTAAAAGCCACAGAGAGCCTGCAGAATACTATGCTTTCATTTGTCCAGCTCTTCATAACTTTTCAATTTGCTCCTCTAGCCTATCCTGCCTGACAGGTTAGAATGTTTTCAATAGAGGTTTGTTGTTTTTTCCTTTGAATTGAATTATCTCATGAATGTCAACATTTTATAGTGACATTTAGACCTTTGGTTCCCTGGGGTGAAGCTATGAGAGATGATCTGTGTGATGTCTGAGATCCATAAATGATGTTGTTGATTAAAAGTAAAATCTGTCCGCACACAGCACTATGGACATAGACCCTCCACACAGTATGTTTCATCTTTGCAGGATTCCCTGGGAGGTGGGAGGTGGGAGGTGGGCACTGAGAGCCCAGGAGACCTCTTTGCTCTTACACAGGCTGGCACTCACAGTGAGAATAGCCTTGGCGTCCTTGGTGTCGCAGCTTTTGGGCATCCCCAAAGCTCATCTCCTTGTTGATTTCAGGTTCTGCATGTCCTGCAGAGCCTTGGGATTGCCCTGTTTTGGAAAGTACACAAAGCTGGGCACTGTCTCTTTAAATAGTAGAGGCTGGGAGGCTCTCAGGCCACCATGACATATCCCAGCATTGGACCAGCCCCTGAATAACTGGAGGGACGCCTGGTCTGGCTTTCAGTGACAGGGAGCTCTACCAGGGAGCATCTTGGGGAGCCTGGTTGGGAGCGGTGGCGCTTGGTCTGCCAGCTGCTGGCCTCTCTGCTGCCCTGTGGGGAGGCCCTGCCCTTGCACCCTTTGCTTTGACTGCAAAGAAAGCCGCGTGGAGGAAGGGGTGACACTGTTTGGGCTGGTGAGTTTTACTGCAAACTGTGCCTCTGAGTGGTGTGTACGTATGCTTTACGGAGTGTTTGTTGCCCAAGCCCCCAACCCCTGCAAACCGCAAATGGAAAGGATTGCAGTGGAGACAGTGCATTTGTGTTGGAATTGACTGGGAATCAGGGAATTTTTTAACCCTAGGTTAAGAGCTGGACATATACTCTGGCTGGGGTGGCGAGAACGACCATCTGAGGGCATCTAGAAAGCCCAGTACATCAGATTTGAAGCGATAAGGGGGTCCAGATGTTTTTTTCCTGATGGGAAGCAGCTCTGTGTATTGATCCTGCATTGGCAAGCAGGTCAGAGAGAAGCTTCCACCTGTAGCTGAGCGGCGGCCCGCCCTGGGTGGGGCAGAGCTCACGTGCACTGCACTGAGCAGCCTCTGGAGACAGGAGAGGCAGGAGGACCGCTGCCTTCACAGCCCTGTGGCCTGTTACTGATTAAAATATTGGGTTCAAAAGAAAGGAAGCTATGAGCTGTGCCTTACAATGTGTACACTTTTCTGGGTGTATAAATTTATTAAAAAATTTACTTGGGGGGGGGAAAAAAGAGGAAAAATCCTGAGTTAAATATGCTAATATTTTTAAAGTGCTTAGAATAGCACTGGGTACGTAGTGACTGCGTAAATGTCGGCTAAATAATAAATTAAATAAAAGTCTAAGTGGCATAAAACAAAGCAAGCCTCCTAGGGCCAACCTGACTATAACATGATCTGGGAGAAGAAAAACACTCCCCTTTCTCTGGTTTGTCATTCTACTTGCATATGCATCTTAACCCGCGGAGACAGGAGCCTTTAGTCGGGGCAGCCAGGCTTGCCCCTGACCTTGTTGTAAGGCCTAAATGTGATATCGGAGTAAGAATGGTGACAAGGTACTGGGCACTGGTCCCTTATTATTGGTTTCACACGATGCTCGCTGCTTCCCGTCCTTTAAAATAGCCATTATTAGTCCTGTTTGCGGAGAGAAAACAGAAGCTCCATGAACTTCAGCTAATTGCCCGAATTCATAAGCCCTGAGTCAGCAGGGTAATCAGGTTTGGCTGAGGCAGAGCCAAGTGCCTATGGGGCCACACTGCCTCTCACAGACCAGGTGTAAAGTCCTGCCAAAGTGCCTGCCTATGATGGGCACTGAAAACAATTTTTAACCTGATAATATAACGATTTTTAAGAGACCATTGTTTGAAGAATTTTTCAAGTAACTTATTTTCACTTGAAGATAAGAATGCATGTACAATTAACTACATAAGCAGCTCCTTTCAAATAGTTAAATAATGTGGAATGATTTGAATACTTTAAAGTGATGAGGCTTTATGACACAGTTCACTAGCAGGCAGCTGTGTGCGCGCCCCCCCATGCTTAGGCAAAGACTTTAACATCCACCTTGGGGCCCTCGGTGGGTCCGCGCAGCCAGGCGGCCTGCAGGAGGGCCTGAGCGCATCCTCGCCACGCCCGTCTGCAAGGGCTGGTCTTTCTGGGTGACGCTGGGCGGGCCGGCCGAGCTCAGGCGGCTATGAATCAGCTGATTTCCCTGGCTGCTCTTCCCCCACCTCAAATGGCCAACTCCCCATCTCTGGCATGGACGCCAGCCCAGCCTGGGAGGCAAGCCAGGCAAACTTCTCTCGGAGCGTACGGGGCTGCGCTCTGGTTTTGCCCAGGCTAGGAGGGGCTGCACCCCAGGGCAGGCTGTCTCATAGTTGGCGGGACTCTCCCTCCGCCCCCGAACTCTCCTCCAAGCAGGGTCCCCTAGATCGGTCCGCTCCCATCCTAGCACCGCCCGCATGCAGACCCTGGTGGCAGGGCGCGCGCGGTGCAGACGTGCGGGGCTAAGACGACGGGGCGGGCCGGGTGCCATCTCCCAGCGCTGGTGCCAGCCCTCTCCCTGCCACCCCCCCCCCGCAGGAGAGGCATCCAGCCTCGCTCCCCAAGTGAACCCAGCCTGCGTGAGTGAGCCCCCCCAAGCCCAGGGCTGGGCACCCATGGGGGCTTTTCCCACGTGGCCTGAGGGGCGGAGGGGCTGGTTTGTTGGTCAACACTTGGTTTCCATGAGCTGGCGGAGCGAGGGGAAGTGGAGGTGAGAAAGCTCCGCCGCCTCCTAGTTTCCAGTAAAAGTCGCGGCGGTTTTGCAGCGATCGGCTTTCTCCCGAAGCCCACGGAAGACCGAGTAGCCGCGTCCCGCCCCCCCGCCGCGTCCTGCCCTTTCTCCCCGCCGAGTCCCGCCCCCCTGCGCGCGCCGGCCCAGGGACACACCCTGCCGCCGCGACGCAGACGGGGCGTCGTTCCCGTTAAAGGGGAACGCCGGGAGCCTCCCTGCGGCCCCTCGCTTCCCGCTAGCAGCCCGGCCGCGCGCTCCTCGGGGACGCCAGCAGCCAGCCGAGAGGACTCCGCGAGTGCGTGCCTGAGGCCACCCTGAGGATCGGGGACAGCTACCCCTTTGGGCTGTAAGTGCCTTGGTAGGGAAAGTGGAGGAGATGGAGGAGAGACGTGGGCATCTTTCGTCGATGGCGCCAGAAGGCGCGGAGCGGGCGCGGGCGCGGGGCTGGCCCGGTCCCCGAGCTTTGCGTATCGGGCGCGGGCAGACGGACTACGGTCTGTCCCGAAAGGCCCCTACCGGGCTGGCAGGGGTACAGAGGGGGGCGTGTGGTCTGGAAACCGTACGGGGCGCGGGTGCTGCGGTCGGGATATGGGGCAGGGGCGGAGCAGTTTTCGCCTCGCTGGAAAGGAGCCTACTTGGGGACTCACTGGCAGAGCAGTGCCTGCGGTGGGCATCCCCGGGTGCGGCCGGCCCCCGCTTTCTAGCTATGTGCCGGATCATCCTCCGCTTGCCCCTCCCGGCACTAGGAGCCACTGGATTTAATTTAAACCTTCGGGGACACATCAGAAAACCGTGCTTATTTCTTCCTGGACATTCCTGGATTCCTTTGAATGTACTGCTTACGGAGGGGAACCAAGGGGCTTGGGATTGGGCACTTTAAAACCGAGTTATGAAACGTCTCCCTGGCCCAAGACTCCGTCCTGAAATGGTCCCCAAAGATGCAGCTGGCCTCTGAGCTTTACATATCCTCTAACAGGTCCTCCCCTCCCCCGGCCTTCGGTTCCCCAAGGTGCGTAAAATGCGGGGCGAGGACCGCACAAGAGCGGGCAGATGTCTCGCAGGCTGCGGCCGCTGCGGCTCCCTGGGGCTCAACCCTTCACCCTCTGCCCCTCCCTCCCACCGACGTGGGCCCCGCGCCGTCAGACGGCCGGCTTAGTTCACAGAGCACCCTTTAGGACTTAAAACTGGAAAGTTAAGGTGGGCTTTTCAGAAAAGATTTCATCCCAGGTCTGCCGGACCCGGTAGCGTCCCGGGGCTCCGCGTGCTTAGTGCCCCGAGGGGCTGAAGGGCTAGTGCGGGAGGC